ACTAGGGGGCGGCCATTTGCGGGACACTTCTATTTTCAAAGTCTGCAAAACGCTATTTCATGCATTTTAGACACATTTTATGATAATCTGAGAGCTAGAGATATATTGTATGTAAAAGATGAAAGTACTACGTGCCCCTTCCCCCCTCCCCCTCCTTCTCGCACCGTTCCCCCATCCCGTGGTCCCTGATTAAAAAAGGTGTCTTTGTGAGCGCCTTAGATATACTGACGAAGGGAAAGTAAATCCTGCTTCGTACAGATGAAAATCTGGGCATTTTACTTATTTACGCTGAGCATTTATTTGCATATACTGTAATATGGATTGTGAAACTCAATAATAACTCATGAAGAAAATACAAAAGAAATCATGATCGACCGTGAAGGAGTTTGTATATCTTATACAGAATCAGTTGATTTACATAAATTTTAGGTTCAATTTTTTCACCACATATCACTTATTTCTTTAAAGCTTTAAATTAATTAAACCTGTCAAAAATGCCTGTCTGAACACGCCTGTCAAAATTCCTGACGAATTAAATTAATCTCATCAAGACGTTTCACGTTGTATCTGATACACAAACTCTCGCCTTCTGCTTGAGTTTGTATATCCGATACAACACGGCCGCTCATGTTGTAAAATAAAATAGCCTCTTATTTACTGAATGTATACAGGTTACCACCTGATGAATAATTAGATCGACAGAACACGAGAAATCTTCTTTGAAATTAACGAAGCCTTGTTCGGAATCCTCCTCAACTACCAAATAAGTCGGTTATAAACAGAGACTACTTGGGATAGCCCCTCGCGTCAATATATTGTATAATTTATTCCCGCATTATCGGTTCAAAACCTATTCTGAAAACGTTGCACAGTGTATGCATGATAATTGCATAAGTAGCATCTTAACAGTCACGTACCTTATCATCTACCGTGGACGCAAACGCTGACGCCAGACTATGGCATAGCTCAACCGCTAAAATGCAGGCGAGCTTAAAGCCCGTTCTCCACTAGGCGAATTTGTTCGCGCGAATCGAAAAAAAAAACTTGGCAAAGTGATTGGTCAGCGAAAAAATTCGCCGCGAAAAAGTTGGATCAGTTCCTACTTTTTTACTGTTCACGCGAACAAATTCGCCTAGTGGAGAACGGGCTTATGGAGGATCCCTACAGTTTCCAATACTACTATGTCAATGTTTTAAACTAAAACGTATTTAATTAATATGCATCTTAAAAAACCTAATATTTTGCACAAGCCATTGTTTCCTCTTATATTAAAGTGTAATTTTAACCCACAATCGCTACCCTTCACGTTACCATGACAACATGACGTCACCATGTATGTGGCCTATATCAACCAAAAAAGCCGTCTTAGCGGACAAATAACCACGGTGACCTACTTTTTTTGTTGTAGAAAATACATTGTTATGAAGTTTTGAATCTTTTCTGAAAGTTATTTGAAAATCGCCAGTGTAGTTTTCGAGAAACTGAATTTCAGCCTTTCCAAAGGCTAAAATGCAATCTTAAAGGCTGAAATTCAGTTTCTCGAAAACTACACTGGCGATTTTCAAATAACTTTCAAAAAAGATTCAAAACTTCATAACTGCAATGGTTATTTGTCCTCTAAAGGCGGATTTCCAGTCCTCGCACGAAGCTCCTCGCAGCTCGCTGCGAGTGATGCATGAGCACTTTCATCCAATCACAATGCTAAACAGTTAATTTTAATTAGATGCAAGCACTCGCAGCGAGCTGCGAGGAGCTTCGTGCAAGGACTGGAAATCCGCCTTAAGAAGGCTTTTTTGGTTGATATAGGCCATACAGATGGTGACGTCATGTTCTCATAGTAACGTGAAGAGTAGCGATGGTGTGTTAAAATTACGTTTTTATATATGAGGAAACAATGGCTTGTGCAAAAAATTAGTTTCTTTAGATTCAAATAGCTTTTGGTTTAAAACACTGATATATAGGGGGAGACTCCTTAAAGCTAAACGTAACTGATCTGATCACCCCGGATATATATAAATGACTTCAATGCAAACTAAGCTATTTTCATCTATTTCTAAAGTTTGTTGTCAAACAGTTACCAATGAATGATATACTAACAGCAATTTTATTTCAAAGGTGGAACATTTCGATCAAAAATCACAAGTTATGGAGACTTCCGTAAGGGAGAAGGTGCATTCTGGGCAAATGATCAGTGTCTTGGAAGTTGTCCAGTTATTTACGGCGGTCAGTACGAAAGTACAGTAGGTTTTGAACAGCACAGTTGCAGTAGTGATCTACAGAACAGTAGCTACATTGGATTTTGGTGTGAATGGGATAATGAAGGTGGTGCAAAAATGATGATTGGTGGAGGAGGAAATAATTGCAATAATGCAGATCATGGTATTGGAATAATCGAGGAAGCTAAACCAGGACCAGCCAAAGAGGATCATTATGATTTTGGTTATGGTTCAGATTACAATCAGCCATCAACATATTCACTTAACTTGTGGGTTCAATGATTGTTCTTGTTGACAATCTCAATCTCAGACTACATAGACATCGTTCATTATTAATTTTTATCTGAACTTTCAAAGATCGCGCCTCGTTGTAGAATCACGTCCGGTGTGTCTCAGACACAGTCGCTGGCACAGTACTACAGCAACAGTGACTTAAGTGCCAAGCAGCTAAATATACCTGTAATATCCTGGTTTCAAAAAATCTTATTGAGATCAGTGGTCCTTATATATCCAGGTAATGTAAGGGTCTTATTAATTAAATAAAAGCCATGTAATTTCTATAGGTAAGTTAACCCACATGTTGTAAATATATTTATTATATAAGTACTGAGATTTATTCATTAAAATGACATTGCGTAATAATCGTACGGAATTTTGCCACAGCCAATCAGCGACGCGAACGATAAAATTTCACTAGTGAAACAACATCGTTCCGCCGCGCCGTCTGATTGGACGAACGATGTTTTTTCACTCGTGAAAAATGATCGTACTGGAAAATACGTTTTTCGAAACCTATTTCAATTTGAAAATCAAAATGGCTGCGTGATTTACGGACGCCTTTTCTGTTGACAACTTTATTTCAGAACAAGAAAATAAAGCTCGTACCTCACAAAAAACCGAACGAGATGTAAAACTATTACTAGCTGTATTACACTTGTTTTTGGAAACCAAGAATGAAGAAAGAAAAACCGAAGATATTCTGACAGCAGAAATGAACGAGTACGTGTCTGAGTTTATCAATTCGGTCATAACCAAAGACGGGAAAGAATATACGAGCCATCTTCTCTCGCTGCACTCACTCGTTCACTTGTAATAATCCACTCGTGAATAAAAATCGTACGCGCTCACCAACCATGCATGAAGTAATCTCTATATATTATATTTCCCTTATTTGTTATTTAAGTATTTCGGGTAAATTCCTAAATAGATAAGACTAATAAGATGTTAGATGTGTACGTTAAATTTTCATTTTGTTGTCCCGAGCCAGCGGTACGAAGCGTCGTTCCAGGCGTAAGCCCGGGGCGAGAGTACTAATTCCGCTCGGCTATTAAGGCCATGTTACACGGTGCAATTTCTCTTGCAACTTGCAATGCAATTCTACTCTTGAGAGATGTAAAATTACCAAATATGAGTCTTCATTACACTCCGCTGATGTTTTCTCAACATATCGAAAATTCTTCACAGATTTCACTAATTAACATCTCTCAAGAGTAGAATTGCATTGCAAGTTGCAAGAAAAATTGCACCGTGTAACATGGCCGTTAATTTACACCCGGTTATTGAGAACATAGCGAAGTGCAACGTTGTCCTCCATTATGTGATGGACGTTTTAACTTTTTCGACGTATGCGCATGCACGAGTACAAACTATCGCTAAAAAAATTGTTTTTTATTTTGCAAAGATGTATTTTGCAAGTATTTTGCTGTTTCACAATATATTTATAACCTGGAAACAAGTCTGTAGTTTCATGAATTAGTGGTTGTCAACCGTGAAACAAAGTGTGAAATCGAAAGGCATAAACACAACTTTTGTCGAAGCAGAGATTTTTAATAAATTATCGTTCAACAGATGATGGAATAAAGCATTTGTAGTGCATTTGATAGGTGCAAGTTTCTTTGGGGGCACGTAGATCATTTTTAGGGCAAGGCCGGATTTTAAATAGTGGGGGATGGAAAAAATTTAGGGGAGGTGCAGCGGTCTAGCTGACGACCCCGTCAATGACGTGAGGTATGCACGTAGTGTACATGTGTATCATGCCCTTCATTACAATTACTGCAAAGTTTCTTTCAAAACAATGAAAGGGCACTTGACACAAAGATGAACGGCTATCACTGTTCAATTTGACAGAAAAACTTTCTTACGAATTGTAGACCCTAAGCAACCAAAAAATTTTTACTTTGATCTATCATTGAAACTTCTCCAAGGGGAGGTGCATGAATTTTCGGGGGCGATGCAAAACGATCTCAGGGGAGGCGCGCACCTCCCCACACCTCCCGTTTGCAGCGACTCCACCAGACCTGTTAGCGGACTAAACTCTGGGACAACTATTTTTTAAGAATGCCGTGCACCTGCTGTTGTTTACGTCTTCAATGCAAAGTTGGGACGTTACAGACTATACTAGTGCGCGTCGTGATAAGATGAATGGATGATCAGTGGCGGCGCCAGGCTTCCAAATTTGGGGGGGCATTTGAGGGGCAAACTCAAATTTAGGGGGGGCAAGATAGAATTTTTAAAAAGGTCGCCACCCCCAGGAAATTCGCCCCCCACCTCAAAACGTGGCGATATTCCTAGGAATATCGCCCCCGGTGGCGAATATCCTGGGAATATCGCCTCCCAGGGGGGTGGGGCAAATACCCTAGGAATATCGCCCCTCTTTAGGACATTCGCCCCCCATATATGCGATGTGGTTTATTCAAATAATTTCGTGATACTTTCATCTTATTATTGCCTTACGCGTTTGAGAATTTAACTCTGCAAAACTAAAGCTTTTTTGTCTTTTTTGAAACGTATTATTGTTGAAACTAATATTGAAACTGTAAATAACAGTTTCATGTATACGCGCATTCACTAATGAGTAATGACAACTTATAAGCCATACATTTTTCGATAACGACAGAACGCTTGTGCAGCCTTTAGTCGCTCTTAGTGACTAATAATTTTTTTTGAGGGGGGGGGGCAAAATGGGGGGTGGGGCAAAAATTAATATTCCAATGTTGGTCTTATACACGTTATATACATTGTAATTAACGTTTTCGTATCTGCCATCGCTCTTTTTAACAGACTTACCGTATAGACGTCTCGACAGTGGCGTAACTGGTGGGTCTTCGGGTGTCCAGAGACGGGTGGCCCCAACGCCTGGGGTCCCCCGGAAAAAATGACCATAAAATTTTTTATAGTACATTGGGCAAATTGGTCTGAACCTCAGTTATAAAGGGCAAGAAAATTTGCAACGAGTGGCCCCCAAAAGCAGGCCGGAATTGGTGAAATTTGGACCCCTTTTTTAGTAGACATGGAAGGGGAAAAATGGTTGACTTTTTTTTACTTGTCATAGTCCGGAAAATTTTTTTAACCTCTTTTTTTAAGGAACGTGGTTCTCCCACCCGCCGCTCGCCAACGTTTTTTTGGAAAAAAATAGGGCCCAACTTAAAAATTTGATGGGGGTTATAATATACATGCGACGTGATCACTCCACTTGAGGTCTCTGCTAAGCATTAGGCCCAGTTATTTTGCAGATTTTACGTGTTGAACAGGGTAGTCATTTACGGTCAATATAGCCTCCTCCGCAGGCATCGCCTTTCGATTATCGGGCAAAATTTCTTGCAGGCAAAAAAATTAATACGGTCAATACACCCTTCCGGAAAGTACGGCACTTTGGCTAAAGTGACGTATTTCCGGAAGCGTGTATTTTCAAGTTTGGTTTCTTTTTCCAAAAAGAGATTATAATTTCCTTACACTTCCGGGCATTTAAAACCGTATCATTTTCTTCGCATGTGAAAAAGCGCTGAATATGAAAAACAAAAATAGAAGGCCTAGGTCTGGGCTGGGCATAGAATAAATACCAAGGGATTTTTCCAGTCCACCATGTTTATAGCAAGTGGCCTAAAGAGAGGCCATCACCCCCTCCCCCCCTGAAAACGTATTGAAATTTAATGTTCCAGGGGGTGTATACCTCTCTTTAGGGCATCTGCTAAGAACATGCTTACGTTTTTCTCGCAAGGTGAGTTCTGTATGGTTAGTACTCCGTGTTTAGGGTTCAGATTGTTAGGATTGTTAATATAAAAATTGACCGTAGACTCCCTTGCCACTGAGGCCTGACTGCAAAACAAGCGTTTGCGATGAATACGGTATTTCAAATTGACATTGATCAATAAAAGTTATATAGGTGATTGTGAAGCTCAACTCAAATGAACAGCCTGTAAATCGGCCAGTGTATAGACCCATTGCACATGACGTCACAGCGCCGGTGACGATGCATCTGGACACAGAGTAGAGACATACAGAGACGTAACTAGTGTACCCACCTTTTTTGTGCGCAAGCTCGGCAAGTTACTAGATGCATGCATCTGATTGGATAACGACCTGATGACGACTCATTTTAAACTTGCTGAGCACGCGCAGTTGATCATTTTTTGCCCTATCGCCTGAAAAGTGGGTACATGAAAACGTAAGCTTCCGCAGTGTTTACAACGGTCAGTTACATCTCTGTATGTCTCTACTCTGTGATCTGGAGGACAAATTAGCAATCTATGCATAATATAACTTTTGTAAACAAAGCAAATTTTGTAAAACTTTACAATAATTTTGTATTAAAATGGTTAATTTTCGCGCTGTATGTGGTTGTTGTACCCAAACAAATATTGTTAGGGAGCATCTGGAGGATACTCTGAGGATTTCGGGTATAAGGTGACGTCAGTGCAAGGGGTCTATAGCACTCAGTCTCAATACGCATTTGATTGGTTAATCGTGTAAATTAAATGCATCTCATTGGTTACTGAACGGCAACGGTAGCGGTAGTCAAAATCCGAACCTCTCTATTGTTTCTGCAACAGAAATAACATTCGGGAAAATACGCTTCTGGATTAGCTGGAAGCACATGCTTGATGAAAAGCAAAATAATTTTCAAATGTTTCCCAATATTGTTCTCTACTTTCTCCACGGCTTTTGGGTCGGAAGAAGAAATACTGATACACGCTTGATAAAGTTTAAAGCTATTTATTAGCGAGGTAAAATACTGCTAAAGCATTGCTGAGATACAGACATTTTAAAATAAAATATTTACAAAAGAAACACAACCTCTTTAAGAGTGAACATATATATACTCTGAGTCGAAATATACGTTATATACAGTACTCTATATCACACATCACATATGATGCATAGGTAATAGCTCTAGATATATATCCTTATAGTTCTTTCTCTGCCGTGTTTGGCTCTATGATAAAATTTAGTCTCATGAAACAGACTGTGCCTTCCTAGCAGGCGGTTCTCTCTGCAATGACAGTTTGTAATTGTCTTCCTCAGAATTAAATGTCGTTGACAGCAGAAATTCTTTGATATGCGGTCGACTTGGGTAGTTGTATTGGATTGCAGCTACATGGAAATGCCACAGTTGTAGTTCAGTACCTGTAGAAAAACAATAAATCATTGGTTAGCATTTACTTTGCTAATGGTAAATATAATACGAAAGCTGCGGATGCAAGAGATACAGTGAGGCAAAAAAAGTGGGTTTCCTATTTCTTCTTGTAAAAACTTAGGTAGGGTAGGTCGGTTTTAACCTTTTTTTTAAACTTTTTTTAAAATTTTCCTAACAATTGGACGCCATTTTGTTTAGTCAGTGCTTCCACATCCGAAAATATATTTCCCTAAAATTGCCTCAAATTTCCATTTTCCACAAAACATTTTCCTCTAAGTGGAAACACTTATAAGCATGATCCAATAAAAAAGTTTAGGGTCGGGATTTCGGCGTCCAAAAGCTAGGTAGGGTCGGGAAACCGGAAACCCACATTTGTTTTTTGGCCTGACCTGAAAAATATAAGCAGAACTTCGACATTTCGAGCGAAGGCCCTTCGTCGGGCAGTTAGTAGCCAAAACTAAGGGCCTGTTCATATGGGCAAAAGTTATCCCGGTTGGCAAGAAAACTTTTCGACAAGTTTACACGTGAGATCTCGCTTTGGTATGAAAATAATATGAAAAGTTACACTGCGTTCGTATGAGACAAAAAGTTTTCCCGTGTACCGAGATCTCGCTTGTTGACAGGCGAGATCTGGGTGACCGGGATAATGTTTTTGAGTTTTTCCCATATGAACACAACTTTCCCGCTTAGCGGATAACTTTCTGTCGTGTCAGCAACTTTTCAATTCAATTGATGTTCAGTGCTACGTCACAGCCGGAAACTACGTCACAACCGGTGAGCGGGATAACGTTTCTACAAATGAACAGAACAAAAGTACAGTATTTGGCTTGTCGTAAAGTTTTCTCGTTAAATTAACCGGGATAACTTTTCCCAATATGAACAGGCCCTAAGGGTCTTCGCTCGAAACGTCGATGTTCTGCTTGTACTTTTCAGGTAGTTGTAGAGTTCTCTCCATCGACACTGGCACAGACCTTTCGTAAATATAACTATATATCAGAGCCATGATACGATAGAACGAATTCACCTACAGTGTACAATACACAGTAAAAACCCAACGCTGTGTGTCAACATCTTGAAACCGGACTGAACTTTATATTGACCATGCAGTCAGGGCCGTAGCTATGGAGGGGGAGCGGGGGGGGGGGAAGGTGACACCCCCTGAAAAAGTCTTGTCGGCAAAATAACGGATTTCTCGGCAAATCGTTTTCGCAGTCAGCGAAAATATTTGAATAGCTCGGATTAAAAAGTAATAGTTATAGCCAAAATTTTGATAAATTTATGAAAATATTACCGAAACATTTAAGATATAACGCCACATCAGGTGTCTTCAAATATTAATCTATAATTTTCTCGACTATAGAGGTAAATAATGTATACATTACCTGTCTCATCAGTGGTCTCCGGTACAGGTATTCTCCGAACTTCCTTCACGTCAGGCGTCTTTCCAGGACTTCCTCCGTTTTCCATCCTAGCTGAGTACAATCTCTGTATGCTCTCTGCGCTGGACGGTGATTGATCCAAGCTCTTACTACGTCGGAATGAACGCATGAACGAAAGTCTTGTCTTCAAACTGTTACCACTATCTGAGTTCGATAAACATTTATCAGAAACACTTTGATTACGACGAAGTTTAAACTTCCTGGAACTCTTCACAGATATCGGTGTACTGGTTGAACTAGATCTTCCAAGATTCTGTGGCCGTGAGTTTCCTGATCTTTCATCGCTCGTTCCATTTTTGGAATGAAACCCGAATGTCCCACTGCCCAGCGACGTGTTACTGGTTAGGAAAGACACTGAACTGGCAGATAAGCTAGAGTTATTACTGTTATTAACTTGTATCCCGCTATCATTACTATACTGCCAACTCCGACATCTTCGGAATCTGTGCGAACGATAATGAGATGACCTTTCTGGAGTTCGCGTGCAAGATGTGGGAAGGTTTGGAGACGACTTCGAGAAACTGCTATCCTTGACTTTAATCGAAGTACTTCGTCTTTTATTAACCAAACTCGTACGAGAATGAGTTTTCCCCCTTGAGGATTGTTTCTCAATATGTTGCGGTGTTGGTGTAGTAGGACTCGCATCGCCACCCGTAGCCGAGAAAGTCTCGTTCTTAGGAGGCTCAGGGCTTTTCTTTTTACGACACGACAAGTAGGTCTGAGTCTGTGCAATCTGTGTGAGAAAATCTCCCAAGAATGGTAGGCATGGAGATTTCTGGTTCATTAGATTGTCCACCTCATTTCGGTATGCTGCGAAGTTGTCCTCCTCGCTCATTAACTTTGTTAATTCACGAAAGTTTCTGCAGGAAGACATATCTTGATTAGAAGATTATATGGAAATAAATACTAACGCATACATAGTGCAGGTGCTTTCAGTACCTGCAATATGCACTTTACCGATTGGAAAGCTTCGGATTGATAGAGATGCAAGATTCAGTTATTATTGGCACTACCTACATTCGCACAAACAAGATTACTCATTACTGTACTTTACTGATTATAATTTTACCTCATTCGTATATGTGGGAAGCGTGCTTCCAGTTTGACTTTTTACCGGACACAGCGCTTTCCCCCGGTAGTAACACTAGACCAATAAGGGATGCCCTTACTAGACATTTATAAACAGCACAAGAACTGTTAGAGGCTCGAACTGTCTAGTATAAATAAATTTAATTTAGATATGCAGTAGCTATTTTGTTTTTAGCATTCATCTTTAATCATTCCTTTACAAAACTTACTTTTTGCGCTTTGATGATACTTCTTTCCAAGTCTCCTTGAGTCGATAGATTGGCGTGCATTGCAGACCACCCAGCAGAGCTTTCAAGGAGTTGAAGTTGCCCATTGCACGGAGCTTGTTCGCCACCTAAAAGCATTATAATACGATGTAATCAGTGTCACGAAATATTGCCGGTTGGAAACAATTGGCTAACATACTCCAACCCTTTGTCCCTTTTGTTACTGTGAACTGTTACCATACACTGTTAATAATAAATTTTCGAAAATACAAACCTGAATAACTTTCGAGATAACACGAACTCTCATCATTGGATCAACTTCAAACAAGATCTCCGAGGCAACAAGAAGAGCAATACGATTAAAGAACTCCACCATTGCCATAACACTAGGAGAACGTTGGTACTAGAAAAAAGTTTACAAACATCAGTACCAGCATTAAAATTATGAATAAACTATTGTGTCCAAAAAGTACTGTCTCTCTGCTCATGCAAAACATGAGTGCTTGTGACAAATATTTAAAGGTTCCAAAAGATCATTCTCATAATGACGTCAAACGCGGGTAAACAATTCACAATGCAAATGATGTTACATGAGATTAGATTGGCTTGGCAACGAGTTGCATTGCGAAATGTTGTTCAAAATTGTTCTGTGTTACCTCGCCTTTACAGGAAAAGCGGGAGACGAAATTATTGTTCGCGTTCAGATTAGAAACTGTCAAAAGCTCTTGGCAAACACTACAGTTTCACGCCCAATACACAACGCTTCGTAACTACGGAAACTCGAAGTTTTGTTACATGGAATGCCTGCATGGCTGTAATAAAACAATACCTCGGCTTAACAAACATACTGCAGGTTTAGAGACTGTTTCAAAATCTTTCAAATCAACAGGCCTGAAAAGGTATTTACGTTACGCATACACGGATCTGCCATTAATTTAACGCGGATTGGGCATCACCAGAAATTCCGTTTGTTTATACGAATGGTTCGTCTTGACGGAAGATCCGTCTGTTTGCCGCGTTTACACATACAGTAGGCAAATTGTCAGACGAGATATCTTTTCTTTGCTCAGATTTGCCCACAGGCATTGCCCCCCCCCCCATCCCCAGTTAGATTCGTCCAGAGGCATCCTCCTCCCCCAGTTAGATTCGTCCAGGATATCATTCCCCTCGAGTATAAATCGAGACAATAAGTACCTTGTGCTTGGTCATCCAGCCGCAAGTTGATAGTTCAATCCACGGAATACGCACAAGAAGTTCTTTATCAATCAAAGACAACTCTTGAGCAAGATATAAAGGATTCATATCAAGCAGTTTCTTTGGGCGAGCTTCAACTAATACATTATTAGATTTTCCCTCGTAGCCTGGGCTTGCAATTTGAGGAAGATCATTGATGGTCTTCTCTTCCTCCGATACAGATCGAAGGATTGTAATTGGAGAAAGAATACGCTTGACAATCTTCTTTCTGATCGTATCCTTGCCTAAAGAAATTATATAAAGATTTAACGAAAAATAGCCACAAAATATAAAACAAAGAACAGATATCAGACAAGGAAAGACAATAATATTATGCAGTTGTCACAACAACAGCATCTCATCAGTGACAAAGATTGCACATAAAACGAGTTAGGTACTGTGGTGTCCATGCAGTCATAAGTTGTGTTTTTTCTTCTAGATACTGTGTCGTCAACGTATAACGCATGACCGTTGTCACCCACTTCACACTTTTGGATAACTCGTTACTACTGTTCTGATAAATAATGTAATGGGGTTGGTCAAAGCTGGATTAGCGCTAACATTGAGTTAATTGGATACATCTGCGAATTCCTTTACAGTATTTCAAAACGTTATAAAACATATTGCCCCAGACAAGATGCATGGAAAAACATCTCCATTTTTATAAATACGCTGTCGATAAGATATCTTTGAAGGTATTGGTTTAACCCATGGGATTAAGCTAACCGACCCCTGTAAGTAATGTAAGCATATGAAAACAGGCTAAAGGTAACCAAGTATTTATCAATTGGGTGGCAGCAAGCATGAAAGTACAGTACCTACAGTATTTTAGCTGGCTTTCATGGTCGGTACATGGCAGAACTGTACACTTGCCCATGTAACCATTGCATGTTTATTCGCTATTACATCATCACAAAATCAAAGGATTACCGCACAAATAGAGTGAAAATTATTTGACTTTAAACAGCTGTTTTTATTCTTGCCTATCTTCTATGTCGTAATGACAATACTATGAAATGTTAGGTGACGACAGAGAGCATTTAACTGTTTGAACCATTGTTAGCATGGTAACATGATATGACACTGATTTGTTTGTAGCTTTAACTGCTAAGCATCAGCTTTAAGATATTTGACATGAGAGGTTTATATGCATTGTAAAATTAAATCTGCATTAGACCAGTACTGCATATACAACAGTCCACAAGACTTATAATTTAAGTCACAAATTGTTAGAAGGGATGTATTTCAAGCCTGTGAAAAACAGAAAATGTGAAAGTGTGCTGAAGACGTTTTAAATATTACATAACTAGTAAAGCAGACGTACTTCAATTAATATGTTGAGAAAATACTTAGCATTATATTTGTGATGATCACATTTAATGATCTCTCATTCTTTAATCTCGACTCATGGCAAGGTATACTGTACATACTGTATACTGTACATACGAAAGCTTCGGATTGACAAGGATACAACTACCTTGTTGTATCCTACTGAAGTTCACCTTGTATTTTTCAGGTAGTTGCATCCCTATCAATCTGAAGCTTTCTTATTATTGGCACTACCTACACTGGCACAGACCAAGATTATACATATATACATACTGTAGACTAAAGGCCATGTTACACGGTGCAATTTTTCTTGCAACTTGCAATGCAATTCTACTCTTGAGAGATGTTAATTAGTGAAATCAGTGAAGAATTTTCGATATGTTGAGAAAACATCAGCGGAGTGTAACGAAGACTCGTATTTGGCAATTTTACATCTCTCAAGAGTAGAATTGCATTGCAAGTTGCAAGAGAAATTGCACCGTGTAACATGGCCTTAATAGCCGAGCGGAATTATTTTCGATATGTTGAGAAAACATCAGCGGAGTGTAACGAAGACTCGTATTTGGCAATTTTACATCTCTCAAGAGTAGAATTGCATTGCAAGTTGCAAGAAAAATTGCACTGTGTAACATGGCCTTAAAGTAGGGCTCTACACACACCTGTGAATGTTGGTTGAGAATTAGGAGTTAACTTGGTTTTCTCCTTTGACTGGACACCTATAGCAGAACAAGATAAAACACAGATTAAGACATGAAACATTTTCTCTTCAAAATTGAACTGTCAATCTTGTGCAGACTGTGCATTTACATAGCGACATCATTATTATCTGAGACACTATTACAGAACACGTACATACAGTAATAGCAAATTAAATCAGGAACAAAAACTTTGCACTATGCAGGGCAACATTCATGCAGAATGCTGGCTGTAAATTTTCCGGTTGGTACAGGCCAGCCACACTTACAACGTGACAAAAAGGTGTAAAAATTTTATTCATTTACGTAAATATTATACTACCCGTATAATTCTATAATCTATATACATGTAACAATATTATCAAAACAACATTTGTAACTATTCTACATACAAATTTGAAATATACATTCTTTAAAATAGCCCAGAATGAGGTTTCATGAAAATCTTATAAGCACACCTATGCATCCACTGTGCATGTATATCCATCCCATCGTCCTACACCTGAAACTTAGAGACTGCTTTGAACGGAAAATTTTCTACAAATGAAAATGTGAACACCAGCTATATTTGATGCTTCACCAATCGGGCATCCAGATAAATCTTTATAGAGGCAAGGTCATGGCTTTCCAGGAAGCATGTTTTGACATTTTCAAGTACTATGATAAGTCTGGAAGTTGCGATAAGGTTCTCTTTGAATTAATTTACGCATTCAATGTGTCTAACAAATAATATTTTAGGAACATACTTGATGTAAATTTTCACAACTTAAATCAATATTTCTTAACTACAGTCCAATTCTCTAATTCAAACTATTAAGATTAATTTATTAGTGTTTGTTTAGTGCCAATGACTCATGTGTGGTCCAATATGTCCAGAGATCTGGAGATAAACATGCATGAATACATTTTGATCATTTACGAGGAATTGGTTAAGTTGTTTTTTTTGCTGCATTCTTACTGAAAATTTCAAATTATTAGATGGACTTTCATCTATAAGATTGGTGCTCCTATAACAAGCCACATTAAAATCATAGAATTGTCGAGTTCAAATACAAGCATGTGGTCACATATTTTACAGTATCATGTGATCTGCTTTAAAGCATGGCAATAACTTATTTCAGCATCAGACATCTCTAAAATGGCCTATCCATATGCTTGAAAAGATACATCGCTTTAAACGAAATGTTAAAATTGTATCCTAAAGTGTATAATATCAGTAAATGGAGCAGTTGCATACTCAATGGTAGAATGTTGCATTGTTGTAACCTACGTACATGTACTGTATATGTATTGTATTTTCAGGGTAATATTTTCTACAAAACAGAGCATAAACTTACATACAATATCACTTCTCTTTCGGTTCAGTGCTGGTTGTATTAAAAGGGTATAATACAATTTGTATATGGACCAGTTGCATACTGAATGGAGTAGAATGTTGTAGTAACCTGCAGTTCACATTATTGTATGTTTTATGAGTAAAAGCAAGGCCAAAACTACAGTACATATATGATATAGTTTCTCTCTCATTTTACTACCCAAAGTATTGAGCAACAAAATCTGTCATAACACTATGTTAATATTTATGTTCATTTCATAACCTTATTGGTCTCACAGTGTCTCGAACAATCATGAGTTTATAATTGCATAAATTATTGAGACCACAAAGTTGATCTGGAGTCATCACACCCAAATTGATTTAGGTTTGTTATGGCTAAAGCAATAAAACAAAAAAACTCCCTTCCAATAAGGAGATATACCATCCCATAGTTGGAATTTCAAATATTCACTAAGGTTGAGCTGCTGAGCGAGCATTTCATGACTAGAGAGAGATCATTATTCATGCTAGATATTTGTTATAGCCTCATAAATGATGCACTAAGTAAATAATTAATCACTTTCTAGATTGATCTTTGCCCTTCTAGAGGCAAAGGAGCATATTTCAACATTTGTGTACAGACTAACCCAAAGTCTGAAAGTTTTTAAACAAAATACAAAGGAAAGAAAAACTAAACAGTTCTATAATATAATGTGGTATAATGTCAACATGAAAATGCTTTCAATTAGATTAGCTGTAGGTGGTATGTTGTGGAACAATAGGGAGCCTTCCAGAGATATAAATTTTGGATTGTTTTACTCATGGGAATTATTAAAACCATTTGGGTTATTTTTTTCATCTAAACATCTGGCAAAACGCTTTTATTGAGCTTAGAAATAATACTCAACAAAGGCTGTGTTATGTATTATGGATATGCAATGAGAATAAACCACAAATTGGGGCATCTGTTCGGTAAAATCAAAACAAAAGCGTGAAAAGCTTTACAATTGACACCTATACAACCTGCCTTTACCGCTATAGATCAAAGTTCGTTTAAAAATGTTTTATTGCTGTTGTTTGTTAACAGATGTTCACATGCATATATGCAATGCCCCTATTAACATACATTGCCTTGCTAAATGTAGACATATTTCGAGCTAAAATAGGTTCACAGTCTTATATTCTTAACCTTTGCAAATAATTTTCAAATTCTTTTGCCGGCAGAGATCGCATGACGCCTTGCTGTGTTTACTACAACTAAATAAGTTTAATATACTATACGATATTTAAAGCATTCATACTTCAACATTTGCTTCTATGCAATGTCCTTTATTTAAAAAGCAAAGTTTAGTACATATTCAGCCGAAACTAGACAGACAACACATAATATTAATTCTTGCATGTGGTGATATAAATATATAAAGCTTTTCATACGAAAATATGCGTATGAAAGAGCTCTAATAATTGTCTCAATAGCATTTAAGAGCATGTAAACAAAGTTTATTATTCCACAAATTCAGCTGATTGGAACAAGCTATTAATGGGTTTTGCATGTTATAGAAATATTATAGTTTACAAATGCATAGGGAATTTTTGTTTACGTACAAATGCGTACGAACAAGCTATAATCACTCGCTGTAAAAAAACTTGTACAAATGCCCAATGAAATGCTAGACTGAACAATCCCTGTTCACAATGCTTATAAAAATGCGTATATAACAAATGCCTGCAGAAAAGCTCTAACTTGTACAAATTTCGGTTCTTAATTGCAACTTTAAGGAAGTATATTTGGGATTAAATCCAACATAATGATGTCAAATTGTGGGCCTAGATTATATGCAGCTGCAAGGCAGGTAAATATATCGAGTCAACAATTTCCTAATGTTTAAAGCAAATATAAGCATTCAACAAGTTCATGTTATGTCCTTACCTGTAGAGGATGTGCAGTCTTTTTGTTTGGTAACAGCAGATATATTAACTTGTTCTTTTTTCCCGCTAGTATCGGAGCCAAGGCCGCCTCTCCGATCGCTAGAAACTGCATAACTGGGCATTGACTGGACATTACATTTGTAATCTACTGCAAGTTTGTTAATAAATACAACATGTTCCGGGTCACTCTCTTGTTGGGCAGATGCATCAGATTTTACCCCAGACTTATTGATATTAACTTTCTCTCTACGTTTCCAAAATTTTTTAAACGACAGCTTGAATTTACCACCAGTGGTATCAATGACATCATGATATGCTCTAGATTTCGGCGGTTCAGTTGGGGCTTTTGGCTCAACAAAATGCTCATGAGCTGCTACACTCTCGCATATACATGGAGGATCTAGTTTATTTTCATTCTTATCCTCGGCTCTGCCTGCAGTATTGCAGAACTTAATACCACTGGGCTGTGCAATAAGTTTACGTATTTGTTCATTCAGATATAACTCTCTATGATTATGTGCGTGTCTTTTGCCGTATTCAGTCCTGTATTCCACTGACGACAGGAAGTTAGCTATCTTGTCAGCATCACTGCTGTTAGGCCTATGCCTGTTATAACCAAATCCACGACGTTTTGGTTTATTAAAACTGCCGTATCTGAGGTCCTCATCCACTAAAATATTGTCTAATTCTGTTAAGTTAGGCAGAGATCTACTTCGCTCTGTTTTGGTATTATAATTGAGCTGTGGATAGGAATTTGAATGCCGTAAGCTCTCATCCGATTCACTGCTAGGTAAGCCTAGAAAATCTATAGAACCACGTCTCGTCGAAGTATCCTTATTTAATCGTCGTACATGGCCAGGATTCATCATCATCATAGCATTATTAACATTATACGTCGACATACCGCCAAGTCCTTGACCAACACATAAGGTAAAGTATCTAGGCAGACCAATATCGTCCGCACTGCTACCCTCGCTAAGCGATGAACATTCACTTTCAGAATCAGAAATATAGTCATCCATTTCATCGAAAGTGACTTCTTTAGGTAAAATCCGTTGTTTGTTGCTAGTTTGCTCAATATTATCGTGCAGATCAAAAGACTTTAAAAATTCTGGCCACGAGTCCTGTCTGTCGCATAATTGATAAACATTTGTCTCATTCCCCGAGTATTTTACATTCAGTTTAAACGTATAAGGAGAATTCTTGATAAAGTCAATGTTGACACATGAACGAGATATTTCTAAACAATTATTACTACAATCGCCATCCTCGTGGTCCAGGGACGCCAGACAAATTCGATCTTTCATTACAAACATTCTAGCATGTCGAATATATTGTAAGTCGGCGTTCAGTTGTACGAATTCCCCTTGATATAAACATTCAGAATCGCTTCGTTCATGTCGCTTTCCAGTAATAACTTTGGCACATGACATTGTGTGTTTATATTCCAAAGGCGCTCAAAACTCCACGTACAGGTAATACAAAACGCGATCACAGATCAAAAATTCGCTAGCCACAAACATTCCGTTAATTCCTGACAATACACAAGACCCATATCAACCACAAGACATGAAATAACTACCAGTTCACGATCACGGCTCCCAGATTGTTCTACAAATTTCCACAACACATGTTTAAGTTTAAAAATATTGCCGGTTTCGTGCTAAATGCATCCCTTCCCCACGCACAAAGCCACACGCTTTGTCCTTTCGCTTCGCTTCGATGCTTGAAAACAAATCAAGAATGATTAGCATAATTTTGTTACGTCACAGAAGCTTCGTTCCCTACGGTCATTTCCGATTGCAACTCCCGAAGGAGTGGCGAAGCAAAGTCAAAATAAATTACGACCTTTTGAATTATTTCTGACCCTGTCAAGTTTTGTTGATTTAAATATAGGAAATATCAAACAAACTTTAATTAAAATCAATCCAGTAATGATTGTATTAGTTATGATTCTTAAAACAAGGAGGAAACAGCCAAACTTTTCAAGGGCTTTCGATTTCGCAAGCCAGGCCAATATACTGAACCTATTTCGAGTATAAGCAGGATGCAAAGTCACGATGCGTCAATGCTCTCTTGCGCTATAAAATATAAGGGTATACTGTATACGGAGTAGAATTACATAAAGAACGAGATAAAGAACACATATTGCTCAGCACTTTTTTGTTTAACTTTGGATCAAAATTCAAACTTTACTGATTAAGGCGCCGCCTGTCTACATCATATTTCTGGCAAGTTTCCATTTCTTCCCAATCCCAGTCAAGCATTTCTCAACTTTTTCTCTCCACATTTGTTTCACTGTGTCCGATCAATTTTGGCGAATGGCAATATTGAAATTTCAACATGAACTAACATAACTAAAATTAGATTTACTAATTAATACGGCAGGTTTACCTAACTAATCTGCAACTCACAGATTGGCAGATTGCAACTTGTTTTTTTTGTCCGTGAATGAATATTTTAAATTTGTTGTTGCGGTTTTCTGCATATTCTGCATATTGCTCATTCCAAGGAAGTTTCTTCTTATTTTTGGCGCACCCCTCGATCAGTGATTTACATATCATATATGCCTTTTCATTTTTACCAAGTATGTGTTAACTTGAACAAAACTAACTCCATTTCATTTATATAAGGCATATCTCTCCATCAGTTCTTAACCGTCCTCAGTTCCTCTACAGTGGCGCCGTGGGTCCCATGTTTTTTGGGAGGAGGGGGGGGGGGGCAAGGGCAGTGCTTTTCCAACAAACCGAAAACTTTTTGAAAATTTTTCCGGCAAACCAAAAGTTTTCCGGACGACAACATTTTAAATCTTCTCTCCCCCCCCTCCCCCACCCCGTCGACAACTTTGGCAATTTCCGACAACATTGACAATTTTCCGACGGGTCTCAACAATACGGGGGGTCATGGCCAGCCAACCTGCCCCCACCCCCGGCCACGGCGCCACTGTTCCTCATCCTCTTGTTGGTTCAAGCACTACACTCACGTCTGACAGACTATGAAATCGGCGCGTGACCTCTTTCAAACGGAGTACCCGAACTGAGTAATTCCTTGATAAAGTGTTTGGTAAAGTTGCAAGCATTCTTCTTAAACTGACAGACAAGTAGGATGAGGCCTGCATGCGTTTTTGAAGGAGGGCAGGGGTCGGTTATCTTAATAGTAATTACAATAATATTGAATCAGAAGGAATCTAATTGTTTTGCCGGGGCTCCTGCCTTGAGCCATGAGCCACTGGAATGCTACATCTATATTAATTTAAAATACGTTGTATTATAATCATTTTGATTACTCGTCACTAAAGGGTACATGCACAAAAGTGGAAACCGAAGTAATTAAGTTGTCTTCCAGTCGCTGAGTCGTTCGAACACTGCAAACAAATGGTAAAAGTGATATGAAGTAGTTTGCCGGAAAATGTCAGTCATACTTTTTACAATATTATACTGCAGAAATGCTAATTGTAAACGGGCGATGCTAATAATAGTGCGGTAACCTCTGGAAACCCGGAATATTTTTGCTTCAACATTCAATATTAATTCCTGTATTATTCAATATCCCTACCTTAATTCATTATTCTTAAAACCTAGTATTCCCTATTCAATATTCCGCTTCCTCCCCCGATACTATTTCTGTTAAATATGTCACACTTATTTTGAAGAATATACCGCCTCCTGCATGTACGGAAGTTTGGAGCCATTTAGGCTGATACTCATGAGTGTTTAAGTCCGAGTCTTGCGTTCCTGTTTTTCTTCAATTTCATCTTTAAAAATACTTTTTGTTATGTTTTTTAATAATTTATTATTTCATTGTTATTAGCTATAGCCATTGTTTACATTTTATTTTACCAGGGTATATTAACTCATTAAGTGACAATGCGCAACCCCAGACGATTTTATACTCGTCAATTAAGGGGAGAGCGTTGGCGCTTAATGCGTTAATTTATGGTTTAGAGATTTATTGGCGAAATTTTCGCTACTTCGCTACAACAAAAAGTCTTAAAGAGGCAAAAACCGTACTACGGTATAGCTAAACTAAACAGCAAACTCGTCAGCGCTAGCATAAAAGTTTTTGCACAAATCTTTTGTCAAGAACGGTATTATTTGTGATGTTCAACTTCCTACACGGACTTGCCAACGCAGGTCGTCTTCATGTCCGTTCTGGTATGAACACATCCTCAGACGAGCTATCGCCCATCGGAGAATTCAGCTATAATCTGCGGTGGCTAACTAATCGCACTGCAAGCAGCCTGTAGTTTTACAGTCAGTACTACAAGATGTAAGACTGACCACTGACAATTAATATAAGAAAGCCTTATATACTAATATGCTACTCCGCGGTTCCTCACAGTGACTGTAAGAGGACAACTGAAATAGTGGTAGTTTTAGGTTTATCAATTAAGTTGAAAATAAATTAATGTCGTTAATTACTATTATTACTATTAATAAACTAAACATATTAACCATGTTTTCCAGCGCTTCCTTATTTTTAACATTTGAAACATCAGTGTGAGTTTCTGTAATTCTGTTTCTTCCTCCTGTCCTTGAGCGTTTAAATTTCATACGAGCTACTCCAAAAAAATATATTGACACAACTGCTTAGTGCAGGAATCAAATATCGACAGCAGAAATCAAATGGGCGAGGGGGTGAGCGATCCCCCCCCCCCCCAATCGCCACAAAAACCATTTTCTCAATCAATGCTAAATCCGCGGTATACGGATAATTCAATTGGGGGGGGGGGGGGGCAGTAGACGTTACATGCTCAAAGCTGAAACTGGCTGAGTACGTCTCGACTGAGGACTGTTAAATGCATGTATCATGCATTCATAGCATGAATATTTCTTCTCATATTTACTTGACTTATTTTGTATGCATCACAACCACTCAGCCACCAACAACATATACTATATATCACCAAACTAGCTCCTATCACCAATCTAGCTCCTATATTCTTCAGGATATAGAATCATATATATCCGGCCTATAAATTGCATAATCGAGTCGATATATATGCACAACTGCTGAGATTTATAACTAAAGCCGCGGGTGCCAGATAAAACTACAATGATTCGTTCTATTGGTGCTCATTTATTATCATCGGGATAATATATACTGTAAGCGCTCACTGAAATTACAAACTCGGTTAGAAATCAATATTCTATAAATCACTTTTGTGTTTTCTATTTTTCTTCAGGAAGAACTAGGAACACCTGTTTGAAGTCTGTAAAGTCTTAAGTTCTTCGTGGTATGCCAAAAATTATCAATTATTATAAGTTAACATGTACAATTAGGGGTGAGGTATATAATTAATTGGGACGAGAGTCCTGCTCCTCATCCTAGTCACGTACGTTTTCTTGTAACATGTTATGTATATGAGTGTCAGTGTATAAACATTTGTGATGACGAATTTAATAATAATAATCATAATAATTCTCAATATAATAGCTCTATAATTTCTTGATAAACCCATTTTCTATATCTCTAAATGATGAGTAATGGTTTGTGTAACTGTTATATAGCTACGTTACGGCTGTGTTCGAACTTTTTTCTGGTTTCATGGTTTGCACAACCCAAACTCCAAAATTTAAATGGTTCGTCCTAATTATAATTGCGTGAGACACTCAAACCGCCTTCTCAATGAAGATCACACCTCTCTGCAGTGTTAGTGCTAACAAGTAACAATATACATAATAGGTTCTGTGCGGTATAGAACATTTATAGTTCAATTTTCTAGAGTGAATCTATAGCATTATTATGTCGAGTTAATAGTGATAATTAATGAATATTTACTGACATAAGATGCAGCACTTGAAAAATATTTTATCGGTGCTTCTAGTGGTTTGATGCGTTAGCTATACGAAGTTAGTTTATTTATTATTAGTAATATAATCTGGAAAAATCTAGTAATTTAGGGCAGCTTATACTGAATGAGTGAATGTCAGCATGACGAATGAAGAAATTCAGAATCACCATGGCCACAGTGGGGAGTGCCTGAACTCGCTAATCATAGGTCACGAATTGCACAGTGTGAGTGCTGTGTACCTGATTCTGCTCACGGGCATCTACACGCACACGTACTGCGTTTTCCGCCCAAACCGGCTAAACGTTTTGACAGATTACGCACTCCTCCGCGCTCCCCGTCTTTCCGACTTTGTTAGGTCTAATTATTGAACGTGTATCTTGTGTGTTACTTGAATTATTGAAAGTATCTTTGTTTCACCTATACATACAAACGTAGTTTACTTGATAGAACAAATAATATTACAATTGCCTTGATTGAAAACCCGAAAAATTTCAGTTCAGCGACTGATCCAAAAACGTAGTGTACAAAGTTCACACTCGAACCTATAGAATTCGTATAGAAAAAAATTCTGGGCAGTCCCTGCGCAAATGAAAATAGATGCTTTGGCCTATACCGCGAAAGATCATCTGGCAGTCCCGGAGTCCCATCCAGTTCCCCCTTTCAATGTTGATGTTAGTAATATACTGGTTACTCATAAAGCTTTGGGAAATACATTGTTATAATCATGTGCGGGGCCGTAAACAAGTGTTTTAGTTTTCAGCCAAGTGTTTACAAAGGTTTTGTCATGATTGTATAGCTACAGGTAAACTCGGACGCTCCTAGTATAACTAGTGATGGAAGCGAATGAATAAACTCGCATACAAAAGTATAGAATCGCTCTTCGCGAAGGTAAACATTCCTTGCTTTTGCATTCAATCACAACTGCCTGGGGAAGAAAATCGCTGACAAAATTTCTAGTGAGTAGTGTGGAATGCGCGGTCTCAGCGCATCTATTTAGGGCAT